ATCCGCAGGGAGGAGGAGTGACACTCACTGAAGGGACAGGGACTCTCCCGTCTAATTCTACCTCCATGGCAATGTTGTAGAGATACAGCCGCGAGGCCAGGAGAGGGGCTTCTGGAACCCGTGGCTGCCTCCGGCACAGCCCTCTGTGAGGCCTCTGCTTTTGCCCTTGGGGAAGAGGGTGTGCAGGCCATAGACACACAGTGGCACCTGGTGTGAGGACCTTCTGAAGGTGACCATGGGCTGGGGGATCATTTGGATTGCAAAATGGCCATGTGGCTTTAGTGACACTTTTAGGATAGAACAAACTTCAGAGTCAACCGTGTTCCTGGGAGAAGGACATCTTCACTTTTCTGGTGCCACAACTGCCTCTTTGTGGAAAGAAAAACGGAAGTCACTTTGCCTGTTTGTTCTCAAGGCCCTTCGGGCTCCAGGGTGAGTTTCTGGTTTGGAGGGAGCGCCTTTGCTCCTGACTCCAGCCCTCCTTGACAAGGTCTCAGTCAAGCTTTCTCTTAGGGACCCTCAGAGGGACATGGGGTCAGGGACATCATCAAATGCTAGACGCCAGGCTGGGGCCGCCCCTAGGGCTCTGAGAGGAGGGGGCGCTCCTGTGCGGTCCAGCGGGTGGGGGGTGGGACCTGGCTGGTCGGCAGTGGCTTCCCTCCAAGGTCCTGCCAGGAGCTGAATCCCACAGCCACAGCCATCAGTGGCCGAGCGAAGCTTGTTCCAGGGTGGCCTGACCAAAGGCAGGCCCCGAGGACAGCCATTGCTGGAAACTGGCACAGGAGACCTAAGTACCCTCCCTCTGACCAGGTTAGGGGTACTGATGGGGAGCCCCTTGGTGAAGGCAGGGGCCACCTCCTCTCCTTACCCCTAGGGACCCAGGCCAGGAAGGAGCCCTCTCTCCCCCAGGGCCAGGGGGACCCCGGCTTGCCCCCACACTGGCACCTTGTGGCACCAGGGAGAGACCAGGCCTCCTCGGGGACAGGTGCCAGGCTTACGGGGGCTTTGGTCAGAGGGGCAGCCACCCCTGCCTACCCTGAGAACGTGACCCCAGAAAGGGGCATCATTTCTTCAATAGAAGAGGAGGCAAGATGAACTCGGTGCCAGTTCCACAGAGGCACAGTGACATAACCCTCCAAACATTCATGACCAACCTCGACTAAACAGTCACACCCAGCCCCGAGTGGATTTACGAGACAGAACGTTCCCCGCCAAGCTCCCCCACCAGGCAGATACTCAGCCCTTGGCTCAAGAGTGGAGCAGACCCCACGAGCTAGTCGCAGGGCCTTGGGCAGGCAGCCGTCCGACCTCAGCCCGTGTGCAAATAGGGTGGGGGAACCAGCCCGTGTGCAAATAGGGTGGGGGAACCGTGGGTAAACTTGGGGTTCTACCCGGGGGTCAAGCTCCTCCACACACAAGTCCTGGTCAGAATCACACAGAACTGACCTCTCCCTCTACCAGCCTCTCTCCCCTGTTCCAGCCCTCCTGTACTAAACTCCTCCTGCACCGGCCCCCTCCCTGTACCAAAACCCCCTCCCCTGTACCAGCCCCCTCCCCCTGTACTGCCCTCCTGTACTGGCCCCTCCCCTGTTCCAGCCCTCCCCTGTACCAAACTCCCTCCTGTACCAAACCCCTCCTGTACCAGCCCCTCCTGTACCAAACCCCCTCCTGTACCGGCCCCTCCCCACCGGCCCCTCCTGCACTCAGCCCCTCCTGTTCCAGCCCCTCCCCTGTACCAAACCTCCTGTACCGGCCCTCCTCTGTACTCAAACCCTCCCCTGTACTGCCCCTCCCCCTGTACTGCCCTCCTGTACCGGCCCCTCCCTGTACTCCAAACCCTCCCCTGTACCGGCCCCTCTGTACCGGCCCCCTCCTGTACTCAAAACCCTCCTGCACCGGCCCTCCCCTGCATCACCGCCCCTCCCCTGTACCGGCCCTCCCCTGTACCTCAGCCCTCCTGTACCAAACCTCTCCTGTAACTGCCCCTCCTGTACTGGCCCTCCCTGTACTCAAACCCCTCCTGTACCAAACTCCTCCCCCTGCACTGCCCCCTCCCCTGTACCGGCCCCCTCCCCAGCCTCAAGCCCCTCCTGTACCGCCCTCCCGTAACAAGCCCCTCCTGCACCAGCCCTCCCTATACCAGCCCCTCCCTGTACCAGCCCTCCCCTGTACCAACCCCTCCCTGTACCGGCCCTCCCCTGTACCAAGCTCCTCCCGTACCGGCCCCTCCTGTACCAAGCCCTCCTGTACCGGCCCCCTCTCTGTACCAGCCCCTCCTGTACCAAACTCCCTCCTGTACCCCTCCTGTACCAAACCCCTCCCCTGTACCAAACCCCTCCTGTACCGGCCCTCCTGTACCAAACCTCCTGTACCAAACTCCTGTACCGGCCCTCCTGTACCAAACCCCTCCCCTGTACCAAACTCCTCCTGTACCCGGCCTCCCTCCCCCTGTACCAAGCCCCTCCCCTGTACCGGCCCCTCCCTGTAACAAGTCCTCCTCCTCCTGTACCAGCCCCTCCCCTATACCAGCCCCCTCCCCTGTACCAGCCCCCTCCCCTGTACCAGCCCCTCCCCATTACCAGCCCCTCCCCCACCGCCCCTCCTGTACCAGCCCCTCCCCTGTACCAAACCCCTCCCCTGCACCGGCCCTCCTGTACCAAACCCTCCCTGTACCAAACCCTCCCCTGTACCTGGCCCCTCCCCTGTACCAAACCCTCCCCTGTACCAAACCCCTCCTGCACCGCCCCTCCTGTACCAAACCTCCCCTGTACCAAACTCTCCCCTGTACCGGCCCCCTCTCCCCTGGGTACCAAGCTCCTCCTGTACCGGCCCCTCCCCCAATAAGCCCTCCTGTACCAGCCCCCCTCTCCCCTATACCAGCCCCTCCCCTGTACCAGCCTCTCCTGTAAATTCACAAACCCCCCCTCCCCTGTACCGCCTTCTCCTGTACCAAGCCCCTCCCCTGTACCGGCCCCTCCCTGTAACAAGCCCTCCTGTACCGGCCCCTCCCCTGTACCAAGCCCTCCTGTACCAGCCCCTCCCCTGTACCAAGCCCCCTCCCGTGTACCGGCCCTCCCCTGTAACAAGCCCTCCCTGTACCTCAGCCCCTCCCTATACCAGCCCCTCCCTGTACCAGCCCTCCCCTGTACCCAGCCCTCCCCTGTACCAAGCCCCCTCTCGTACCAGCCCTCCTGTGTCAGCCCCTCCCTGTAACAAGCCCCGCCCCCTGTGCCAGCCCTGCCCCTGTGCCAGCCCCACCCCTGTACCAGCCCCTCCCCTGTAACAAGTCCCGCCCCTGTGCCAGCCCCGCCCCTGTGCCAGCCCCGCCCCTGTACCAGCCCCTCCTGTACTCAGCGCCCTCCCCCATACTCAGCCCTCCTGTACCAGGCCCTCCTTGCACCGGCTCCCCTCCTCTGTACCAAGCCCTCCCCTGTACCAAGCTCCTCTGTGTACCAGCCCCTCCCCCAGAATAAGCCCTGCCCTGTGCCAGCCTCCTCCTGTACCAGCCTCCCTGTGCCAGCCCTCCCCTGTGCCAGCCCCCAGACCCTGCATTACATTGACCACTGCATGGAGCTGCCACTCCTGGCCCTGGCCCTGGCCTGGCATGGGGTCCCCCGGGAGCAATTTCAGTGCTGGGGCCCCCCATAGCAGATTCCCAGGAGACACATACGGGCTGGCCTGTAGTTTCAGGGACACTGTCATGATGCCTGGCCCCTGACCTTGCTCTGGAAGCTCCTGGTGTCTGGACATTCAGCGTGACCTGCTTCCTCTGAGGTTTGGGGCAGGCCCAGAACCTGTGGGTCCACGTCATCAGCCTCAGGGTGGAATTCTGTGCAGCCACAGGTTGAGTTCCAGGAGCAGCAAGTCCTGAGTCAGCGTGGCAACTGCTCTTGATGCCACCTGCCCCAGGTGGAAGGAGGACACAGGGGACAAGCACTGCTGGTAAACGCGCATGTGTATGTGCACTCACGTGTTAAAATGCTTCAGAGGAAGAGCAGCCCAGGAACGCGGGGTGGATGGGAGCAGAGGCGCGGGCTGCGCCAGGGCTCCTCCTGGGGCTAAAGCGGTGGGGGGACTGAGGGGAGACTCTCCTCCCCGGGAGTGTGGATTGCTGCTTCTCACTTTATTTCCTGCTTTAACATGTGAGTGTCCTGAAATAAAAGCCGTTAGCCGCCACAGGAATGAGCAGGTTTGCTGGATCACAGTTCCCCCACCTGGCGCCAGGCTGCCTGCCTGGGAGACTCGGGGTCCTCCCCAGTCCTGCCTCCCCACCTCCACACAAGGGTGAGTCTGGATCCCCAGGCACCCAGGCCAGGGGAACGGAGGCAGAGCACTCCAGCCCCCGTGACTCCGGCAGGTGGCAGTGGACATTCCTCCCTAGCAGACGCCTGGGTGAGCTTTCACTTCTGCCTGCTGGGTGGAGCCTCGACTCGGCTGGAGCTGGCAGGGGGTTGCTGAACCGACCGCCCTGGGTTTCGGAACCCTTTCTCAGGCCCGGGAAGGGGCTGAGGGCCTGGCACCATCTGGTCCCCAACCCTTGACACCGACAGGTTTCCTGTGGGAAGACAATGTTTCCGTAAGTGCTGGGGAGAAGAAGGGATGGTTTCTCCTCAGATCATCAGGCATTCGATTCCCCGTAAGGAGGGACAACTGGATCTCGCAAGGCCTAGGGTCGCACCTGTGAGAAGTTAGTGCTGCTGCTGATCTGACAGGAGGCGGAGCTCAGGCGGCCGCCACTCGGCTCCCAACAAGCCACAGCCTGGGACCTCTGCTCTGGAGGACGGGGCGAGTGTCTCCCGGGCTGATCTCCAATGGGCCAGTGATCCCGCAGGAGGGGCTGGGGGCTGCACAGGCCAGGCTCAGTTGTGTTGCTGGCCAAAGATGTTCACTGGAAGTGGCTCCAGAGTCCTCTCCAGGAAGCCACGCCCACTCGCTTCCCTCCTCCCAGCCCACCTTCACTTCCGACCACGGAGCTCATGGGGCCCGGGTGAGAGGTCAGCGGAGTCCCGACTGAGGAGCGAGGAGGGCTCTGTGTGGGAGCAGATCTGGGTGAGTCAGGAGACCCTGTGGGGCTGGACTGGGCTGGGCTGGGCGTAGGGGCTGGAGTGGGAGGTTTCGGGACTGGACTGAGACTTGGAGGTGGGGTGCGGGTCAGTCAGGGTCAACCCTGAAAGACTGAAATCACGGGGCGCTGCCTCCACCTTGGCGTGAGGAGAAAGCACTGGGAGGACTGACCAGGTGGGAGACCAGTTTCCTGGATTGGGCACGAGACTGACCAGGTGAGGGGGCTGCCTCCCGGGATGGGCACGAGACTGACCAGGTGGAGGCTGGTTTCCCGGGATGGGCACCACAGGGACTGGAGCCCCGTCTTAGGCTGTGTCCCGGCGGCCTGGAAACTTGCCGGCTTATGCGTCGTGGAGTCCCAGGAGTCGGTCGAGTGCAGGAGGGGGCCTGGGTGGGGCTGAGTCAAGGGCTCCGGCCGAGCCCCTGTGTGCCAGGAGGTATTTGCTTATGCCCTGTGGCCTGGAGGAGCCGCTGCCTTGACCACATCCCACCGGGGCAGGGCGGGCGCCACCCTCTGGGACAGGGAACCTGAGAGGTGCTTCCAGTGGGAATTTGGGCAAATTTGAACTCAGCTGGATTTTCAGTTTGTTGTTCTTTGATGGAATTCAGGTCTGTGCCAGCGCTGGCCACACCACCAGGAGGCCTGGCTCGAAAGGGACGCCAGCTTGGCATCTCCCACAGGGCCGGGCGTGTTGGGAGCCGGGGGTGGCTGGGGGCCGGCCTGAGCTTGAGCCTGGCTGCCTATGTGGAGGGAAGACTGCTGCTGCCAGCACAGGGCCGAGGCTGTCATGGCTGAGGAAAGGCTCAGGACAGGCCTAGGCTCCGGGGTCCTCAGCCCCCTCCCAGCAGGGCCTGGCCCACACTGCCAGACCTGGGATGTGCCTCCGGACCTCCCCACCTCGGGCCTCCGCCCATCCCAGCCTCCTCCCCCAGACGCCTCGGTCTCCGCCCCTGGAGGAAACTGGGAGTGTTTCTTTTGGAAATGACCCCAGTTTGTGGTGGTTCTTTGTAGACACACCCCCTGCTGGGGATGAGAAGTCCCCCTGGACCTTGGTTTGGGCGGGAAATGGGTTGTGTCCCATGTTAACCTAAATCGTGTTTTCCTCTTTACATTCCAGAGTCATACTTGAGGCCAGGCTCGAATCCTGCCTGCCTTTGGTGGCTCTGAGATTCAAGGGTGGCTTTTCTGAGAATACCCAAGTGAGGTGCCTTGGGATGCCCCTGACTTGGAGACACAGAGGAGGCTGGGCACCCCTTTTCCCCGACCCACTGAGCCAGGTCAGCAGAAGTGCTGGGAACCTCTTGTGGGGTGGGAAGTCGAATCCCCGCACTCGGTCCCGGCACCCCTTGGCGGGTGACAGGAGGGCATCTTGAAGGCCGCTGCGCTATGGCAGTTACGGCTTTGACTCTGAGACGGGCGCCTGGGTGAGGACCTGGTATCCTCCACGTCCCTGTGGCTGACCTGTGGAGAAGACTCTGCTGGGGGAGGGCACTGGCTCCCAGAAGTCTCCCAAGGTCCAGGAAGGAGTGGGAGGAAGAGGGGAGGAGGGTGGCCTCACAGTCACGGCGACCTCTGGTGAGCAGAGGGTCCTTCCTGAGCTACCAAATCCTCACGGGGCTTGGGTGAGGGAGCGAGGACAGGCCGGGAGCCAGAGGCTCAGGAGGGGACGGCCTCACTGTGGAAGGTGCAGGGATGGTCCAGCCTGAGCCCTCTGCCCCCCACGCATACTCCCCTAGGGGGCTGCAAAATGCCAGGGTGTTGGCTCTGGGTGGAAAAGCACCTGGAACAAATCCCATGTTTCCCAGGGAAGGAGCCACACCCTCTTCAGACCTCTCTGGCTGCTGCACGAAACGGGAGCCCTGCCTGGGCTGCCCACTGCCCATCACAGACTGATCCCTGCAAATTTCACAGGCATCTGGATCGAATAACAGGCTGATAGGGTGTATAAAATTAGAGGCAGAACTCTCCAGAAGGCCGGGTGCGGGCTGCAGCTCCCTGGGATTCCACGTGAGAAGGCAGTGATGCTGCTGCACACACGGGAAGGATGGAGGCTGAGTCAGAGGGAAGACAGTGGGAAGCCCAGCCTGGAGGGGAATGGGGGATGGGGGGATCCAGGAAAAGACCAGCAGGAGGTTGGGGTGGGACACAGGGAGCGTGCTGCCCGGGGAGGTCCCCCAGAGCAAGAGGGCTGGACCCACCCCCTCCGCAGGACCCCATCCCTACTTCACTCCCTCACCCCTAGTTCTGAGTTGGGCGCAGCCCGAGTCTCCACCAGGCGGACGGTAGCTCCTCGGGGCAGCTGGGTGCGGCATCTGCAGACTCAGGCAGCCACCCAGATACTAGCAGCGTCCCTGGCCTCCAAGCCCAGCCTGGGGTGAACCTTGACAAAGGCCCTAGACCCCACCCACCACCCCACCAGGGCTCTGAGTTCTCCGTGAGGACTGGTTTCCCTGGAAGCTGGGTCCCTTGAGGATTGTTCTTACCAGGTCTTCACTGGTTCCAGACGTGTGCCTTAGACATCTGCATGGACATCTCTTCCCAGGGATGGGGGTCTCAGGGCAGGTGCATTTAAACTTGTGATAGAGACTCCAAATCACCTTTCAAAAGGTTGTTCCCATTTGCACCCCTGCATGCGTGAGTCAGTGCATCGCTTCCTCACTGAAGCAACACTAGATTTTGTCATAAAGTATTTTTCAATTTCTTATTTCTATGATTAATAGGGAGGTTGGATATTTTGTGATATTCATCAGTTTAGTTGACTATGTTTTCTGTTTTTACTCTTTACCACTTCTATCTCGTCGTTTGCTTTTTTCTTGTTATTTGTGGGAGTTCTTTATATGTGATGAATGTTAGTACTTTGTGTTTACATTGCAGATATTCGTTCCCAGTCTGCTGCTTATTATTTTGCCTTTTAAAGATTGTTCTTTTCATCACATTAAAGTTTTTAAATTTTAAGTGGTCAAATGGTTTCCTTTAAGGTTTTGGATTTTGCATTTTTTATACTAAAATGCTCTTGTATTTTCTTCCAAAGCTTTATAATTATTCTTTTTTTTTTTTTTTTTTTTTTTTTTGCCTTTAATGTAAGTTCATTTTGGGTCATGGGGTGAGACAGAATAGAACCATTTTTCCACATTAAATCTTAGATATTGTGAGCCCTGGAGGACACAAATTACAGCTTCGGGGCTTGGAGCATGATTCTGGAGCCAGGCTTCCTGGGCTGGAGTCCATGCCCTGCCCACGGTGGCTGGCGATTGCTTTGGGGATCCTCTCTGAGCCTCGGTTTCCTCTTCGAAAGAGTGGTTGTGCAGAGTGAGAGAGCGTCTTCCTGTGGACGACTCAGCTGGTGTCTCAGCCCACAGTGACTGAAGAACCAGGGGGTCTCACAGAGCCCTGACTCAGGCCTCGGGGTCCCCCTACCTCCAAGCAATTCTACCCACCCCCCGCCCGCCGCTGCTTCTTGCCTCTTCTAGAAGAGAGGAGGGTGGCGGTACGGCTGGAGGGGGAAGAAAATCTGTTTCCCAAAGCCTCCGGGTGACTCAGCCGGAGTGAGACCAAGGGCTTTGAGTAGCCCCGCCTGCCGCTCCATCTGGTGGCCTCAGGACAGACAGGCGGCTTGGGCTTTCAGCTTCCTCACCTGGGCAGTGCAGGTGAGAGCACCCCACTTCCCACTCCGTGGGCAGGTGACACCTTCCTGCTCTGAAAAAGGGAAAACATCTCCACCTTCCCCAGAGGCTGCACAGCCAGAGGTCACAGTGAGGCGGCCACAAGCCCCGGGCTCTCGCTCTGAGGGGACACTGTCCCAATAAGAGGCCCCTCACAGTCTGGCCTGACCCTGGCTCTGTGGCCCCACCTTCCCCTGATCAGGCCCCTCCCAGGTCTACCAGGAACTGGCTGCCCCCTGACCCCACTGCTGCAGCCCCAACCCTAGGTCTGCACAAAGACTTCGGGACGTCCAGTGAGCCCCTGGGTCCTGGACCCCTCTTCCTCCTCCAGCCCCTCCTCTCCCAGCTGGTCCTGGCTGCCCTTTCACTGCTCAGAGCTGTTCAGCAACCTGGCGCGTAGCTGGTACATAAGTGGTTGTTGGTTGGAGTCGAGTGAGTGAGGAGGACATGCTAGGAAAAGCGAAAGGTGCCATGGCGCCAGCAGGGAGCAGGTGCTGGGGTGTGAGGGCTGCAGAATGAATGTGTCCTGGGATGGGATCCTGATGCCCACCCTCCCGCCGGGCCCCCACAACCCAGAGCACACACCAAACTTTCTACGGGTCTTCCCCAGTCAGCCTGAGTCCAAACCACCCATGCCCCTGAGCTTGTCCTTGTCTGAAAGAGGAGGGAAGTGTCTGTGTCCTCAGGAGCCCCTAGCCTTAAGGACAGGCACACTGGCCCTGGCAGGCAGGTGGCCCTCGGCCCCCTCGCCACCTGGCAGCCCCGCCCACACCCGCGGTGACTCGCTCCCAGGCAAGCGTTGCGAGGGCAGAAACCAGCTCTATGTGGTCAGTGCCCTGGAGCTGCAGCAGCAGCAGAGGTCTGAACGCCTTCCTCTGTGGGCACTGCCACAGAAATTTAAAGACCTAGTGTGCCCTTTCGCAAACCGGGTTTGTTGATTCTACAGAAGGAGGTAACTATTGTGAGTTTCTTCTTTTTCAAAATGAGTGGCATCCGAACCTGACTCATATTTCCAACTTTATTAATTTTTGCAAGACTCTGGAGGATGCTCTGTGGCGATTAATGTTGCTGAGCTGAGCACGGTTGCAACACTTTCCTGTAAAACAGACTAAAGGAGAAGTTGATGTCTTCCTCATACAAGAAATACATAAATCAGTTAAAAATAGTTCTCCGAGCGGATGTGATGATGTCGTGGCTGTCACAGGAAACACATGAATCAGCCTCATCCTCAGTTCCAGGGAAGTGGGGACAGTCGGTGGTCCTTGGACCCCTCTTGGGGCGCTTGGGTGAGGCAGGGTCCCTCTGGCTTTACCTCATACCCG